CCATTGGGATATTTATAGTCTTCATCAGGTTATGTATACTGTCTCCATTGGGATATTTATCGTCTTAATCAGGTTATGTACACTGTCTACATTGGGATATTTATAGTCTTCATCAGCTTATGTATAATGTCTCAATTGGGATATTTATAATCTTCATCAGGTCATGTATACTGTCTCCATTGGGATATTTATAGTCTTCATCAGGTTATGTATAATATCTCCATTGGGATAATCTTCATCAGGTTATGTATAATGTCTCCATTGGGATATTTATAGTTTTCATCAGGTTTTGTATGTCTCCATTGGGATATTTATAGTCTTCATCAGGTTATGTATAATGTCTCCATTGGGATATTTATAGTCTTCATCAGGTTATGTATAATGTCTCCATTGGGATATTTATAGTCTTCATCAAGTTATGTAGACTGTCTCCATTGGGATATTTATAGTCTTCATCAGGTTATGTATAATGTCTCCATTGGGATATTTATAGTCTTCATCAAGTTATGTATGTCTCTATTGGGAAATTTATAGTCTTCATCAGGTTATGTATAATGTCTCCATCTGGTTAATTATAGTCACTATTAGGTTATTCATGGTCTCCATCAGAATATGCATACCTTATCTATTTGGTTATTTATAGTCTCCATCAGGTTATTTATAGTTTCCATTTGGTTATATATATTGTCTCTATCTAGTTATTTATAGTCTTGATCAGGATATGCCCTGTCTCCATCTGGTTATTTATAGTCTGTCTGGTTATATATAATGTCTCCATCAGCTTATTGGTAGTCACCATCTGTTTATGTATACTGCTGCCATCTGGTTATTTATAGTCTCCACCAGTTTATGTATAAAGTCTCCCTCAGTTTATTTATGGTCTCCATCAGGTTATGTATACTATCTCCAACTGGTTGTTTAGTTTTCATCAGGTTATTTATAATTTCCATCAGGTTATGTATCTTATCTCCATTAGGTTATGTATAGTCTCCAGGTGATGTATAGCAGGTTATGTATACTGTCTCCAGGTTATTGCAGTAAGTTCATAAAATTCAGTATATTTTAACAACCACTCCCCTATAACAAGGCATCATATTTTCCTAGGGATGGAATACATGCTCATCAAAGGAAAATTTTGTGTGACTTTGTATGATGTACTTATGTTGCAGCAAATACAGTATTATTTTTTCAGGAGAACATCACTAAAATTTAAGCAATTATTAAAGACAGAGTCTGTAATTTAACCAATAAAAAATGTTAAGACCTTGTTCATAATAAAACTCACATGAGTTCTTGAGTTTCATGTAAAGCTGGCAAGAAAAGAAAATTCATACATATGTGACAATTTTTCTAATATTTACAAAATTCTTAGAATTTGACATGACTATACATACCAAGTTTGATCAAAATCTGTTCAGAAATTATGTGTCTTGTGATTAACAAGAAAGTCATTGTTCTGATTTGCTGATTTTTAAGGCACTTTGACAAATTACTGGTGTTTTTCACAATGACAAACTTAGGCCTCTGACCTGGTTTTTAAACCTGCATCCCTTGAATACAGACAGACTCAGTTATGGATGGTCTAATGAGAATGAAGATTTCATATTGGTCAACAGATATAGGCCAAAACATAAGCTTGCCTGGTTGTAGGTCACAAAAACATATAGTCTCTCTTGAATGAAACTCAAGCTAGCCAAAAAGAATTTGCAAAAATTCTTGAGACATCCATTTCTTCCCTCCTTGTACCTTTTATCAATTTCTGAGGATTTAAATTTTGTCAGATATTCTTGAGAAACTCCTGCAAACTTGGTAAAAATTAATATAGTTATTTTTTTCAGTGTGCTCAAAAGCAAAGTGGAAAAATCTTTGTTATGCCCTTTGAAATCAAACCTAATATTGTTGATAAAAGTTCATTGAACTCTTCTCAGATACTGTCAGGATAAACAAATAGGACAAAATTTTTAAATCCATATTTAATACTTCTAGTAAAAGCCATGTCATTGAACTACCACCATTAATGTTATTTTATAGGATTGGTGGCATTTCTTTCAGATTGTTAGTGTTATCAATATCAGTATGGATAAAACCCTAAGTCAAGACCTTGGATTTTTGTTATCAATGAAAGAGCACCTATCATCAACCTGTTTAATAAAATGCCACTAAATACAATGTTGGATCAAAATTCATTTGTATAAATAAAAGTCACCATGTTCATAAGGCCATTGAAGTACATGAATGCAAGCAGTGACATTTGACTTGAGCTCAAAGTCAAATAAGCCCAGTTTTCAAACTCCTTCACAAAAGTGTGGAGATGCTCATGGTCAAGTCCCCCATAATTTTTATTCTGCACCAATGACATATTGCACCAATGCCTTTCAGTGAAACTCTTATTTCAGGAGTATCAATTTTTGAAATGGTCAAAGTGATGAAGATGTAAGATGTACACTATGTAAGACATACACTATTTTCATTTATGACCAACAAGAGCAGAGATTAAAAATCCAACCAAAATCTTGGCAAAACAGTTTATTTATATTTGGCATCATCACATGGCAGTTACGGCTTTATAATATTACATGGAATCAATAGTTACCAAATGTTATATAGCAAATTATATAAATGACCCGTTAAAAAATAAATACATTCATCATTAAAAAAACAAAAGATTTTCCAATAAATACATATTTTATCTGTTAGTTAATATTCAAGAAAAGAAATAACCATGACCTGCATTGACAATAATAAAACTTTTGAATGTTTTCACACAGAGCTTTAACTTTATGCACAAGCAAATTATGTTACAAACTGCTCAATTGTCCAAAGACACAATGTGTCTGTACACCTGTGCTAAAGGTGACATTTAACATGGGCCAAAATGTCTCTTTTAGTAATAAATCCAAGTTTAGTAGGTATACACTTTTTCAAAACAATGGTTTTGTATTATTCAAACTCAGTTCTGCAGATATTTTGTTGGGACAATTATGAAAGTTCAGTTTGGCATCTAGTAATATCAGTGAATAAACAGGTGTGGAAGTAACAAAGAAATGTATACGTTCTCTACACTTTACAATAATATTAATGGGAGCTGTAACAATAAGGATATACTTATTCTGAGGAAAGTCAACGTGTATAATATCCTGTGAGATATGAAACCCCAAACTAAAGCATCAAATGTTAAGAAACCACATCATCACTGGTTTTCATGTGCCACAGCACAGGTAAAGTGCAATAAAGGGAAATAACTCAAGTGTCAAATTTAAAACAAAATTAGACCAATTTAGTGCATCTTTAACTATATTCATGTCATAAGAGGGGCTGATGTACACCAAGGGGCTTTATTGCAAGCTCCTCGATTTCAATACACTCTGTAATTGAGGAAGTACATGAGTGTTACTGATCACAATGATGTAACATTCGGTTTCAATAATGAACATGATTCAGACCTAGATAGAAGCAAACATCTGTGTCTGTCATTTTAATAATGTACATATATATCTAGATCAGCTGTAATGACAAATATATATATATATAGGATAATAGCAATAGTGTTTCTAGATCTGCTGTGTTAAAAATTGATAAATGTGTGTAATCAAAATATAGTAACAAAGAAATGGTAACTGTGTAATCACAACATAATAATATGTGCATCTAGATCAACTGTATTGAAAATTGATAACTGTGTAATCACAAGATAATAAAAATGTGTGTCAAGATCAGCTGTTTTGATAATTGTATGAGTTTGCAAAACAATGCAATTGCATGTAATTACAAGATAACTGCAATTATATGTAATTGCAAGATAATTATATAAGTCTGTAATTACAAAATAACAACAACAACAATAATAATAATAATAATAATAATAATAATAATAATAATAATAATAATAATAATAATAATAATAACAATGGTCGTATCTAGATCAGCAGTGTTGGAAAATAAAGTTTATATAATTAAAAGAAAATGAAAAAACAATCTCAGTCAACACTTATTCTTAATACTTCACAGAAATGAGTGTTGATATTTAGTTAGTATCCTCATGCGCACAAATATTCAACAGGGTGGGATGCATCTGTTTATGTATAAACACTCAAAGGTTATAAGTTCAACATACTTTCTTTCTTCATATTGACATTATATAAATAAAAGTTAGGATTAAAGGTGTACATACAAAAAGTTTCTGATTTTTTGAAGTGCATCAAACATCTAAATGCAGTTTTTAATACTGCCTGATATGACAAAGCTGTATGAATGTCAATAAAAACAAAAAATGGATTCTGAAACAAAAACTCACTCATATGGAAATCAAAAACTGTCTAAAGGGTAGCTTTCAATTTGACAACTGAAAATTATACCATAAACCATAAAACTGAAATTTTAACATAACCTCGGTGAATAAACAAGTCAAACTACTACAAAATAGTCCAAATCTAAGCTAGTTTATCATTATCTGTATGCCATACATAGTCATAACTTATTTCAACTGACAACTAGATAAAAAAATCTGTATTTCCCATATTGCCATAGATCTAACACGTTTCTCAACTGATGACTAACTCCAAACTATGTATGCCCCATATTGCCATAGCTGTACACTTATGTCAACTGGTGACTAGATACAAAATCTGTATACCTCATATTGCCATGGATCTAACACTTTTCTCAACTGATGACTAAATCCAAAATCCAAAATATGTATGCCCCATATTGCCATAGCTGTACACTTATATCAACTGGTGACTAGATACAAAATCTGTATACCTCATATTGCCATGGATCTAACACTTTTCTCAACTGATGACTAAATCCAAAATCCAAAATATATATGCCCCATATTGCCATAGCTGTACACTTATATCAACTGGTGACTAGATACAAAATCTGTATACCTCATATTGCCATGGATCTAACACTTTTCTCAACTGATGACTAAATCCAAAATCCAAAATATGTATGCCCCATATTGCCATAGTTGTAACACGCATTTAAACTGGTGACTGGACTGCTCTGGTGGCTGTGTGGTAAGAGCTTCCACCTCGGATGCAGGTAGTCCTTGGTTAGAACCTGAGCCAAGTCATAACAAAGACGTATTATAATGGCAAAAATGGCTGCCCCACTAGGCACTCATCATTAAGAGGTTAGTGTTAGGACTGATCAACCTGCTGATAGGATAATGTGATTGGGCTGGACATGATGCTAAATGTCTGTGGCATGATGCCCCAGTACTAGACATCATTTTAAACTGTCATACAGCAGACATTGTAGCTGTATGACTAAAAACTTGTTAAAGCTACATTAAAAATCCAAATCACACACACACACACACATACACACACAAACACACCCATACACACACACAAAACTGATGACTAGCTCCAAAATTTGTATACCCGATGCTGCCATAGTTGTAACAATTATTTCAAAGGATGAAGAGATCCAAACTTTAACCAAAAATGATAAGGAGACTAAACAATCTTCATTCAATACTGTCAATACTCTATTGGTTAGAGACCAATTCTTGCCGCATACCAATTATCACCACAGTACTAATAACATGCGCCCACACGTGAAGTTTTGGCTCCTGTTTAGAAAATAAGAAGAGTGATTTAAGTCTGAGTGCAAGTAAGCTTTAGGTAAGTCGACTAAGTAAAGATAATAACAAAAACACTTCAACCCCTTATATCTCCATTTACTGACATGGGGAGTCACATGGTACAATTAGCATACATAGGTCAACTAGAACTAAGTCGTAAAACAATACCTTGATGTATGCCTCATCTTTTTATAGCAGACACTGTAAATGAAAATTACATTTCCATCAATAAAGCATCCTCAAAAAAGCATTTTCCTTTTTCCACATTTGCCCAAAAATACCACAAACAGCATGGCCGCAGCATTCTTCCATACTTCATTATCACCAGCATTCACAGCATCTCCAGACATATATATTTTACTTGCAAAGAAAGGTCGAGAGTCGATAGCTAGGGAGCATTGATTATTTGATTTCTACCAGAAAATGGGAAACAACTCTTTCAGAAAACATTACGCAAAAAACAAATATTAATCCTGTATGGAACCACATGCAACATTACTGTCAACACGAAAGCAACTATCAATTATTTCATGCTATATCAATTTATTTTTAAACAAGTAAAATTAAATACTTAATATTTTAGGACAATTAAAAAATAACCAACATCTTAATATGACTTTAATATATTTATTTATCCTTCTTTTGGTTATCAAAAATGTATATGAAACAGCTATGAAAAAATAAATTAGTCATGTGACAAATAATCCATAGTTTACATATTAAGGCATCTAAAAGGTGTTTTTCACTGCATTTTATTTTATTGGATTTTACTTTAAGCTGTATTACATTTCTGTGCATTATTATACTTCATTGTCAGTTTTAATAATTCATGAGAACGTGAAATGATTTTTTCTCAAAAAAATCAACACACACATGAAAACTGTCAAGAAAAATAACACAATGCTGGTGAATGTTACTTACAACAGTAAAAACAAGAAATAAATGACTCTAATTTTTATTTTATTTAGCAATGCCAAAGAGGTATACAATTGAAGAACTTAAATATGCCATGTCATCTGTAAAGCAGAAAAGCCTTACGATTTCACAAGCATCTAGGGAATTCCAAGTCCCTAGAAAAACTGTAGATGACCAGGACAAGGGGAAGGTGCAAGAAAAGGCCCATGGAAGATGTCCAATGTTAACGACAAATAAATAATAGTCCATGGTCAATAATATGAAGTATTCGGCACAACAAGGTTTTCCATTGACCAGAAAACTTGCCCGGCAATATGTAATAACCATCATGAAGCAAAATGGACCCCATTCTCTTTTCAAAATGAATAAAGGTCCCAGCAACAAATGGTTCCGAAAATTTTTTAAGAGAGAAACATGTTGCAACACAGGACTGAGGCAGGAATAGGATGTCAAACATAAAAGTAATGAATCAATACTTTACTCTTTTTGAAGACACGCTGCACAGATTAGACAACAAACCAGATCAGATTTTCAACTGTGATGAAACAGGATTTAGTAGAAAAGAAAAAGGTAGACAGAAAGATATTGGTATCAAAGTCCATAATCTGTCATAACATTCAGTCATATCACCGTAAATTTATGCATCTCTGCAAGTGGAAGAATTCTTCCATCCTTTTTGATTTTTGAAAGATGTTTACCCCATTTGGCTTATAAGGAATGTGTTCCAGGTTCCTGGCTAGTTAGATACTCCACTAATGGGTATATGGATGGAACACTCTTTACTCATTGGTTTAAGGAAATTTTCATACATCATTATGGATCAGCAAGACCAGTATTACTTATCATTGACAACCATGACAGCCACATAAGCCCAAATGTCATCAAGCTTGCATGAGAAAATCAAATTGAATTGTTGGGGTTGCCACCACATACAACCCACATTCTACAACCATTGGATGTGCAAATCATTGATCCACTGAAAGCAAAATTCAACTCAAATGCAGTTATCCTTGATTACATTAACAAGAATCAAATAGTAAGTAAAGCCAAGTTTCAAACAGTGCTGTTTATGTCCTAGATCAGTTTACCACTTATCAGGTCATAGAAGCCTTTAGAAAAACTGGTATTCACCCATGAAATCCTGATGTTATTGACAAGACACAGCTTGTCAACAGCGATTTGAAAATGGTGAGTTGTCAGCCCATTCCATCATGAGTCCCATCCACATCAACAAAAGCATCATCCGATGAAGAATTACAGGCATCAAAATCCGTCTGTCCAACCTGTGGTAGTTATCTTGGAGTAAATCCTTTGGTATCAGAAGGCCTTATACCTCAACACTTATATGACATTTTTCGGCAGTGCCTGTTCAACCACAAGTTGGAAAAGCAAAATGTGTAACAATCAAGAATACTAACCTGTGACGATTTTTACAGGAAGTTAGAGATAAAGACAACAGAGGATAAGAAAAAGCAAAAACTGAAAGGAGGATTAGAGAAGAAAGCACAGTAGAAAGAGAAAAATAATGAGGATAAAAGTCAAGAAATTTTTTGGAAGTTAAGAAAAAGAAATCTAACTCTGAGTTAGATATATGTGGTGTGTGCAAGTCTTTTTATCCACCAGTTGAAGAGTCTGATGAAGAGAATGTTGAAGATTAGGATGAGGATATAGTTTGGGTTCCGTGTGGCAAATGTATGCAGAGGTACCACAAGACCTGTGTTGGAATATATTCTCATGAAGAGGGTAACCTTAGCAAAGATGACACGGAAATCATCTGCAGTCTCTGCCTGAACAATGAAGAATAGTTATATTAGTGTTAATAAATAAATCAGTAATATTTGTATGCTACAATAATAACAATGTATAATAATTAATTTAATGTTGTGTGGCTGTTATATTTTTTTCCAAATTATGAGGTCACAGAATTCTTCAGCATCCTGTGCATGAACAATTAAATTTAGTTTCATTAGTGAAAATAACTAAATCACTAATAAAATATTTCTGATACAATAGTGACAATTTCTAATAATGTTTTTTACTGGTGTTTCATTGTGATCCATTTTCTTGAAATTATTACAAAAATATGAAAATAATTTTATTAGACTCGTGTTTTTAAATGTGTATTTACTTTCATGATTTCCTTGTCATTTTTAAAATTAATTTTTTACAAATCCAGGTAGCTAATTACATAAAACTGGTGTAAAAAATGACTTGACTACTTACCTTGCTGTTCTCCATGAAATGAGACAATTTCTTGGTAGACAAAAAACAATGCATGTTACGTATGTACTCATATGTGAAATTAAATATCTTCAACTCCTTAAACTTAATCATTTTTAGATATTTATTAAAACTGAGGAGATTTTAGACATTATTGCAGCCTTTCCATTTGACACAGTTCAAAAAAATAATGAGTTTTATCAACCGGTGAAGAAGTAAATTTACATGCATTCCTATCACAATTCCTAACACATATAAAAACATGAGTTTGAATTATAAAGCACAAAATTTAAAATTTAACTAAACAGATATGAATAAATTTTCATTAAAATAAATAGTAAATATAATCTAATAATCATATATGAGTAGATCATCAATTTTCAACATATGGCAACAATTGGTACTGATTCTCCCGCAAAGTTCATAAACGACACTGTTTTAATTAACAGCCTCAATGTAATCGGTCAAGTTGCAAATTTCACATTTAACAAGAGGAAAAATATTGTTAAAGGTCCTCATTTTGTATATTATATTACCAAGGAGCAAGTTCATGTCGTTAGCAGATGATTATAAAAGAACCAGGAAAAAGTACCGAGAATTGGTCTCCAACCAGTAATCTGTCTCCATAAATCATTTCTGATAATCAGTTACTCAACATTCACAGAATGCCATGTATTCATTAATCTTGCTATTATAGACTGAATTTTTCCACAAAATACCATCTTAACCAACTGTGGTGAATTTTTAAGCAGATATCTTCTACTTCTTTGTACAATAAACTTACACACAGATTTCATTATTATCAAACACTCATCACACACACACACACATACACACACTTCTTATGTCTCTATTTTCAGTGTAATTAATGATTCTAACTTTTTCTAAGTTATTTTAAAGCATGACTAATGTTCGAGTAAAACCAATTTAATACATGTAAAACATGTCTCCACATTTTATCAAGTACAATGAAAAAAAAGGAAAATATGATTTCAAGAGTTTACAATGCAGTAAGCAGGAACGACTGGGCATGAAATGGCCATCTGTAAGAAATTCCCAACTAAAACTTCATTATTATAAAAAAAGTCTCCCTGTATATTGTGACAATTGGGAATACAAGAATGATAACATCTGGAATAGCCTTAGCTTGCATCAGGTATGGTTTTATATGGATTCAAAATTCCATTAGGATCCATTACTTTTTTTATTGCCTGCATCAGTCGAACAGCTGACTTTGTTTTGCTGTGGTAGATAAATTGCTTTTTTTTGAAGCCCAGACCATGCTCTGCACTGATGCTGCCATGGTGATGTGCCACCCAGTCATAGACGTATGGCTCTATTAAGTCCAT